AGATGACTTGATGATTTTTGGACGAGCAAATAAAGAGAAAGCTAAAGTAATATCATAATGTCTATCCACATATGAGTAGTGGTCTGGCCAACAAATTAATAGAGGGAAATTTGTGGTCTTTTACAACAAGAATGCAAATAGAAACATCACCAGAGGAGTCAAAACAATTTTGCAACTGAAGAAAGGCCCCAACGACACTAAGTACCTAGGACTACCTTTGAAAATAGGTAGAGCTAGGAACAAAGCTTTCCAACCAGTCCTGAAAAAAATTGGATAGCAAGCTGTAAGGATGGAAGGCCAAGTTGATCTCGTACGTTGGAAGAACTACCCTAATCAAGTCTATAGCCCTAGTTATGCCAACATATGTCATGCAATCTTTTCTTCTCCCCATCTTTTTGGTGGGGACAATCAAATGACAAGAAACCATTATGCCTCAAAGCGTGGCATTTTAACTGCAAGCCAAGGAAGGTGGGGGCATTAGGATTCAAGAAAAATCATGATACAAATATAGTTGTAATGGCTAAACTAGGAAGGTAGTTAACCTTACAATCCCCCAAACTTTGGTCCTCCCAGCTCTCAAGCAAATATTTTTCGTCAAAACAATCCTCAAACTCGCCCTCAGACTCACCCAGATCACTCATTGAACCGATAAAGTAGTATACTAAAAGTTTATTTTTTGTAATGAAACTTATTTTATTAATTAATAAAAGTTTGTTCTTTTTATTTTGTTGAGAATTTATATGAGCAAAATACTTGTATTATATTTTATATATGATATGCATGTATGTCTTATATTTTACATTGTAGATAATTTGGTGTATAGAGTTCGGCTTATGCACAGAAGACCAGATTATCGGATCCTTGTATAATATGAGTATATGTTCGCAATCGTAGAGAGAATTGGACACGTCATCGATATGATTGTAGTGTAATATTTTGGAATAGTCTGTCGTGACTGTAAGAGATTGTTTGATATCTCAGATTATTGCACTAGTACACTTTGTGTATTGAACAGACCCGTATTGAGGTTATTATCTTTTACTGATTTAATAAGATAATAAATACCTCATGATTATTATGATTGTTCATACTCTTAATCCCTAAATATTTAATTGTCACGTGCATATAATATTTGTCACTTTAATTCATCAAAGAGTGAGATTCATATTAGGTCAATAAGCTCGATGAATTGGGAGACAATGTTATTTGTATGGTAAAAATTGAATATTAAATGAAACCACTTCCTAGTATTTAAATGGATTAATAATGTCCTTTTGAGAAAGTTCATAAATTTTGTTCATGTCAAATCCTACAGGTGAATTTAATTATTCAACATGACAAATAAGTTGAGTGATAAAATCTCAAAGAATAAAATAAGTCGATTAAATACAATTATCAGTGATTTATTTGATTGATGGACATCTGTAATCTTAAATGATGGGAGATTATTAAGCATATAATAATAAGAAACTCAAATATAATTTTGAAATAAAGTCCAAAAGATCAATAATAAGTCTTTAGTGGATTGACTTATTATTATTGAGTTGTAAAATGTTTGTTTTGGATTAAATATAGGAATCATAAACCCATTGGGAACTCGGTCATTATTTCTTCTTAAAGTCTCTATCGTAACTTATATATAAAAGTTTAGGTTCTCTATTTCAGCATTTATTATTTACTCACGTTTTTTAGAGAGACTGAAATAGAGAACAAGGATTTAGAGGTCTTAGTAACCCACACTGTATCTGGATTCTAACGTTGGGGGATACACGATAGAAGGCCGCAAGATCCGTCGTGCTGTAGTCATTGTTCTATTATGTGTTCATGTTGAGATGAGATCAATCCCGAGAGATCTCGAAGGTAAACCCCAATTCCACCTTCAAGGGTTTTAAAGAAAATTTTTTGATATTCGATGCATACGCGCTGTCAATAGCTCTTGGAATTTCCGTTCCAACATGAACAAGGGGCATGTTACATAGTGGGATCTAGACACAAAACAAAATTTTGGACTGACCCTTGGATTCCTAACATCCCCTTCTTCAAGCCCCATATGATGCATGAAATTGATCCACTCCTGCTATTGGTTGAAGAGCTTATTGATTAACAATCCAGAACTTGGAAGAGGAACATCAAGTCATCTTGCTTTGATGAACAGACAACACAAGCTATCCTCAAGAAAAAGGCTACCTATTTTCCACACTGAAGACAAAATTGCCTGGATTCTCTCTAATTCAGGATTGTTCACCCCAAAGTCAGCCTACATCTTAGACAGAGCAAATCTGGATATAACTAGCCAGTAGCTTAGCACCCCTGATTGGATCAAACGGTGGAAATCCCTCTTACATGAGAGATTAAAAGATGGAAATTTGGAGAGCCTTAACTGAAGAACATACCTACCAAAACCACCCTAGCCAGCAGATTTCCAATTCAAGACACCTTATGCCCATTATGTCAGCAAGCACCAAAATTTGAGGTACACTTGTTCTTCCAATGCCACCTGGCCAAGACAATATGGTTCCAAAAATGAGGATTTCACGCAAAAGCTTTCTCTCATCTCACGTTCCAAGACTAGGTCCACAACCTCCTTAACCCTGGACTAATTTTCAACATATGCAAACTTTTTCATAATCAATTCATTATCTTTGCTGGAGTTACGATTGTTACAATTTGGAAACGGAGAAATAAAATCATCTTTGGAAACAAAACACCTCAGCACATGCTCATAATGCAAGAGATTAATCTTCTCTTTGATGAATTTGTGGCGCAATCAAAGATCTCAAAACCAGCTAGTACTCATCAACTACCACCAGAGCGCCAAAGAATAAGCAAATGGATCCCCACCAAATGAAGTAGAAATAAAAATCAATGTGGATGCAACAATTGGAAAGAGGGAAAGCTTGCTTGGCAGCAATTGCAAGAGATGAGAGGGGGTCAAGTAATACAATCACTGATCACAAAAGAAGAATATGATGATGATCCCCTTGTTGTAGAATTCCTGGCTGCAAGAAGGGCAGCTTTCTACGTACAATAAAAAAAAAATTGAAACTATGTCATCATCGAGGGGATTCACATACTATCACTCATACAGCCATGTTCCCCCCACATTAATCCACACTGGTCCATCAGATGCATATTCCAAGATCTCAAACACCTTCTGGAGCAGCACACAAACTGAAGTATGATTTATACATTCAGATAGGCAAATAAAATTGCACACGAACTGGTGCAATGGGGGCTGAGGAACAATTATCAGGGACCTTCAATGTTGAAAACCTCCCCTCCCCCCCTCGCTTTGGTAATGAGATAAGTAATCACAAATATGGACAGTGGTCATGGCTCACACCAGCGGGTAAAAGTAGGATTAGGAGTAGGAGTAGAATGTAAATGTAGATGTTTAATTTTATAGTTCTCTCTCCCAATACCTCATCATCATTTCTCAAAAATAACAACAACAAAAATTCGAGCTCAATCAAAAATGTTCATCATCTAGGAATGTATTTTCAGTATTTTTTTTCTTAACCAAAAAAGTTTCAACTCCAAATTCAGACAGTAATCCAATTGGGTTCCCAAATACTGCACCACTGTGTAAAAATACAACATTTGAACTCTTGAAACTGGACTTTGGACAAAAAAAATAAACAAAAACTCTCGAAACTGGACAAGGAGAAGCCTGGCCCCGTTGATCCCTACTTCCAGAAACTTGGGGATGCTATGGTCACAATTTCAAGAAGCTTTTGATTTCTCTCTCTTATTCAACATAATATCACTATGAAGTGTTGATGAGATGCCTCAAGAAACACACTTGTATATATTCGTGTTTGTTGATATATCATATTTTGTTTCGATTTTGTACCTATTTAAATTTAAAAGTCAATAGATTTTACTTTAAAATTAAGGGGATGTTTGGTTTGAATCTACAAAATAATTTTTTGTTCTCAAAATTTCAAAAACACTCAAAACATGTTTAGTTAGCTTTTTCGTTCTCAAATTTTTGGGGGGGAAAAAAAGAGATTTACAACAAAGAAATAGAAAACAAGCCACACTTGTTTTAGACTTTTCTTTGAAAACTTTGGAAACACGGAGAACAAACCTCTTTAATAAAGTCTATCCTTCGAGTCCCTTTAACAGCGTGTTGCCCATCAAATAGAACGAAAACACACACAGAGGCCGTCTTCTCCAGCTCTCTCTCTCCATTTTTGCCTCTCAGACAGAACAAGCACATAGGAAGCTTCAGATCTCCCTCTTTCTCTCTCTCTACACAGATCTGAGCACATATCTGTGTGTGTGTTTGCATGTGTGTATGTGTATGCGTCTGTGTGTGTGCAAGTGTGAGTGTGTTTTATGAAGACAGAGAGAGGAGAAAAAAAGAGAGAGGTGGAAATTATGATTATTGTTCAAACAGATTTTTTAATTTTTGTTCTTTAAATTATTTTCAAAAATATATAATCAAACAGATTTTATAATCTAAAAATTTTTAAAAACACTTTCTTAAAATTCTTTCCAAAAATAGATTTTGGATACTATTTTTTAAGACGAAAACAAAACATATCTTAATTTTTTGTGTCAGTCCATAGAGCGGAAATCGATAGTACTTCGAAAATCTATTCTGTGTTTTTAAAAACTTAATTGAAACAAGGTTATTTGGCTTCTATAGATATTCTATCTTCGCGATAATTGAACTAATCAATTCAAGTCGGACTATGTAAATTTGTGTATAGTGTACTTCCTGTTTGTAGGTATTTTGTATAACAACTCATGCCTATCACTCATTAAAATACTGATGATAGAGATATGCCATACTTAGTAATAACGACGTGGCTTGTAAATATCAACGCCACCCACATAGAACACATGAACAAGAACAATTCTTGTTAAAAGGGCTTAGAATCTACTTCAAATCAAACGCTTGACATGTTACACCAGAGATCTTGAAATGAAATATTGTATACAAGTGTGTTCACAAAATCTTCAATGCAATATATCAGAGAGAGAGAGAGAGTTTATGTTGGGACTAGAATCACCTCATCTTGATCTACATACCCACCATTACACCTGATAGAGACAATGGCAAGAGTAAATGCTAACAAAACTATAGCAAACCAACCCATAGTAATCATCCATCTGCCACCACTAGCACCACCCTCACCGCTGTCTTTTCTCTTCTCTTCCACTCCGACCACCACCTTTTCTCCTCCACCGACCACCTCTTTCTTTCTCATCTCCACCCTCTCATCAGACACAGAAGAACCTGAGCAACAATAACAACCAGCAGTTAATCCTTCCTTCCTTCCACAATCTCCATTATCATCATGAGAACCATAAGAAGAACAAACTGAACTCATTTCACTTTCTTGATTCTCTTGAATCAAACCTAACCAATCACTACAAATCTCTTCTCGCTCTTCAAAACCCACCCCAGTTGCACCCTCAAAATCTGCAAAAAGCCTTTTTCCTTTCAAATTACCGCTTTCTATGGCCGCCCATCTCTCTCTGAGTATTTCTTGAACCACCATATCATTGTTCCTCACCTTCCAAAACCCTTCTGAAGGAGGAGACCTTCTACGCTGCAGAGAAGCCATGAGTTCTGATGGAGAGTAGTTGTTCATCAGTTGAAGAGTATCAATAACAATGGTTCTTGAATCTGTTGAACATTGGCGTAGAACTCTTGGGTTTTTCGATCGATATTTATAGCTCTCCCATTCTTTTTGAAGGTTCTTGAATTTTTGGTGCAGTGTTTCTTGATCAATATCACTTTCTTTGGCTCCAAGTTGTGATCTTTTTGAGGTGGGGTCTGTGCTTTTTCTCACTCCATCAATGGCTTTGGGCATGGTGGTGTTTAAATGGCGTTAACCGAGGTTGATGTGATCGGCTTGAAGTTGAAGGTGGTGTATTGTATGAGATTATAGCGGGATATGAGGAACACACGTTTTGATGGTTAATTTTTTGAAATTTGATTTTCCGGGTCTTGGAGATTAGTACGATTCTCTCTCCTCATCTTCTAAAATTAAAAACCACCTAAGCACAACCCAAAAGAGGATCATAAACCTTATAAATTTTGAAATTGGGTTTTCAATTATGGTTCAAGGTTGCAGTATGAGTCATTAATTTGAAAAATTTTGAAATACATCGGTCGTAACACAGTATCTAGCGCATTATGAGAGATTCGAATTACACCGTGGTATTACAGAATCTTATCTGCCGATTCAGTGATGACTCGGCGATTAAAAATTGATTCAGGTATAACGAATCGATCGAGTCGTATGAGATTTAAAATTTCTAAACATTTTTGTAACGATATCGTGTCAATAGGTGTCAAGTCAAATACAACTCAGTCGACTCGTATCAATATCAACCGAAATTTAAAATCATGTTCCGAATATAACAATTCTAATTAAAACCCACATTGAATAAGCGGTTATATTGTTTCACAATGATAATGGTGTTATGAGTTTTTATTACAAAAATAATTTCTTCATAGACGAGATAAAACTTCATATATGTAATACTTTCTAATGACTATCGTAACCAAAATTTTGCAAAATAAACTACTCTTTCTAACAACAATGAAACCGTAGGTTCAACATTAAATTGATGGAATCTCATATTAACACCCTGAGATTTAAACTTGGATCAACCTCTGGCAACACCTAAAACATTGAGTGCTAACAAGGTCATCAGTTCTTCCTAGGATCTCATTCCTTCTTTTTGTACTTTTGCTTCATTTTTCACTAGTGAGTGGATGAAAATGATTGTGTTTCTTCTTTTGCCAGCCTGAACAGTCATTCCACATTATGCCGGTCAATCCTTGTGAATTTATTTTGAACAAATTTACAACATTCCAAGTAATTTCAAACAAATATCCTCTCCATTTTCATATCACTCTTTAACACTACTTGTGGAGTTATGTACCTCTTTTGCCTTTTAGTTCAAGCAGACATTTTAAATTTAAATTTTAATAATTTTTTGTGGTCAAATCATGAGAAATTATCTCTTAAAAATATTTTAATTTTGATATAAATGACTTCTCTTTAACCAAACTTGAAAAAAAATTAATAAAAATACACATAAATTAATTCAAACACTCTCAACCTTTGAATTAAAAAAAAATTAAAAGCTTACCAATGTTAAGAGTTAAAACCGAATACATTTTTTAGCAATTTTAAATGTTTTTATAACTCTATTAACAAAGAAAGGGAGAGAGAAGCGGACATGATTTAGAACTACATCAAAAAGGGCTTATTCAAAAAAAACAAATGTTATTTATAAATAGAAATCAATTTGTGGTAAGTCATATCTAAGGTGTCAAAATATGACACGACTCGTTAATACGACACAAAATTAGAGATTTTAGATATTCATTAAATCACCTATTTCATAAACAAATAGACCTAACATAATATGATTAATAAACAAATCTAATATGAGTGAAATTAATCAAAAGAAATATAAGACATGATTTATATATATATATCAGTTACACAATTTATACACAATACGAATCCGATATAACAACGATTCATTAGACACGAATTAATAAACGAATCAGCTATGAATAGAACACAATACAAATCCGACATGATAATGATTCATCAAACACAAATTAATAAACGAATTGAATATGAATAAAGTACTTTTGACAATTTCCATCCATTAACAATTTCCAAATACTCTCGAAAGAGGGAACGAAACAACTTTGTGAACATTTCTCATAATCACAGCCAAAAGTTCAAACCACATTAAACATAAACACAGGACCAAAGCAGGGAGAAAATATTCATTATAATAATGATACCACATGACAATGTTAACATAGTATCACCAACCAATATAGTCAACCTAATCCTCCATGCAATGAAATCCACATAAAAAAGGATAGGCTTCCCTAGAAACAAAACTTTCCTGGAGGGGAGTCGTAATTATTCAACCCCGCTAGTTAAACTCCTGAATTCTAGAAGCAATTTAAAATTCTGACCACCTCCGCTTAGCCTCAGCTGCTGGTCTTTGATATGTCCTCTATTATACCCTTCCCATCCATAGCATCGAAAAAGAAGAAATTTTTTAGGGGATCTCCCTTGCCTGATATCACTTTAATAACTTCCTACAGATCAAAATGTTCGATCAAGTAATAAAAGTGAAGACACATTTCAAAAATAAATAATCAATTGAGAAGAAGGGGCATCAATATTATCACCTGCCCAAGAATTCCTCCAACAATGGCACAAACAGGAGGGAATTCTCTTGTACCCGCCAACAATCTTTCTAAAAGGGAATCAGGAATCTGAGACTCACTCAGTGACTGAAAGGATAGAAGGGAGCTTACATAACAAGATGCAAGATGTAATTATATAGCTAGATCTACGAAGTCTACGTTAACATACATGTGCCTCACAAAGGTCCTTCCTCAACTTGAGGACATTAGGAAGGTCTGCGGTAGAGGTTTCTCCAGGTTTACGCCCCTCAGCCTCTTCGAACCTTTCTATCACTGCAAACATTATCCACAAGAAGGTTCATTCAATAAATTCAGTAACCATAGCTGCAAGTGAAATACAGAGTCAAAACATGTAGTAAATTACTACATCGTAAGTACATAATCTGGAATACAATTGATTAGGAGAAAGAAATATCAGCTAGATAAACATATTTATTTCTCTGATTTCTGGAACTAGTGGAACATTGCGTTTTTCCCAACCTAACTAGAGTTTCAAGCTTCCCCTTGAGCACAAGAAATTAGTCGTCTACTATTGGAAAGCAAGAAGGGTGCCAACCAGACTGGCATGCCTGATTACACTACCTAACCAATAATATAGCACCATTTGGAAGGTTCTGCCAGTGAAATACACATGTACTTGGTCTCCAGCATGGTAGTTGTGCCTATGTTGATCAGTGGCATATGGGCAATTGCATGGTATACTTCTTTAATCAGCAACAACAGAAATGTTGGTAATAATAAAATTCAGTACGGCAAATCAATGATATACTACAGCCATCTCACCTGTGATCACATTGTTTATTTGATATTGCAATTATGCCCCTACATTATTCCATTTCATTTCTTGATAAACAAAGTGCTCCTCAATAATGTCTAGGAATATAAATCATACAATATGACCCTTGCTTCTTTTCAGATTTGCAAGTTAGTGGAGGAGGATCATTTACCATGTTCTCATTACATGAGCACGAATAAAACAAGAAAAATGTTTCTTGCCTCATAACAGGCTTTAAGGACACTAAACATTCCATGTGTTGGTTTTCCAACTGCTTTTGCAGAGGGTCAATCATGCATTGTCATCATATGGGCCCAAGTCAAACTCAAACTCTGAAGAACTATTCACATTTTAAACATTTTGGACCTGCCAATGGCAAATGGTTTGGCAGTAAGACATAAGTACAAAGGCAAATGGTTTGGCAGGCCAAGTTCCTAGCCAATCGCCAACACATCTCATCTGGAAGAACTTGGGAAATGCCATTAATCAGGGAAGCTTCTTGTATTTCAGCTTTCAGCTGCAACTGCTTTCCATTAACTATTGTACTCCTACCCATTGGACTCTTTGCTTCCATTCAACCACAATGCCGCACTCCAAGAATAAATATGAATGAAATAGCTTATTAACTTGGAATACCTCTCATAGCAAAGTAAAGCTTTGACACCCTCTTAGGAAGAGATCTCCATGGCATTGCAATTGCATCCTGCAAGAAAAGCAACAGTGCAATTGTCACAAGCAAAAAGAACCTAAAATTCCAACAAAAACCTTTGAAAGCATTCAATGACTGGCAATTTGCTGAATTAATCTTTTTACATGAGGTAAAACTTCAGTTCTCCAATGAAACTGACACATTGCACCCGAAAGGAAGAAGTAATTGTCTAGCTCCATTAGCCAGCATTACTTCGGAGATTTATCACACAGCATATGGATTGATAGATTTAAACATCAGTTGCATAATGTTGAACTTGGAATCCATTGCCATTGGGCAAACAATTATATTTTGCATATCTATGCTTCACAAAATAGAGGGGTGCAACTTGGGTTGGGCAACCCGATTTCAACCCGAGCCCAACCCGAAAAAATTAGGGCTTGGACAAGGGTTTTTAATACTTGAGTTGAGCTTAGGTCAAAAAATCTCAACCCGAATTTAATTTGGGTTGGCCTCGGGTTAAGGTCTCGGGTTCACGGGTTCAACCTGAATCCGACAAATTAAAAAAAATTATATATATATATAAAGTATTAGTATTGGTTTTTCATTTTTGTTCTATCGTTATCTGTCTCTCTCGTTCATTTTTATTTTTGTTCTAGCATTAGCACCGTTAAAAACTTGATTGAAGTTATTGGTTATTAATTTAGGTGAATATTATGTAATATATGTATTAGGTTTAAAACAACAAACTTATTTTAGACTCTACCCGAACACAACCCGAATTGAACCCGTAAAGTAACCCGAAATTAAACTCGGGCAGTGCTCGAGTTGAATTTCTCCACCCAAGGTAGGATTAGGGTTAGAGTTAGGGTTGGGCAAGGGTTGACTGTCCAACCCACCCGAGTTACACCCCTAACAAAATATACATTTACGGAAGAAAGAATGACTACATAAGAAGAGTTGTCATCGAGAATGCCCATCGACAGCCCAGTCAATGAAAATAGTATAGCATGTGAACATTAATAACCAAAAAAGTGAACAAAGGGGATCTACCAGATCTGGATAAGATAGTGTTAAATCAAACTCAATCAACATAGTTGACTGAAATTTGGCAATCCATACCTCAAAACTGGGATACAGTAGTATGCATTCAATTGTTTCTTCAAGTTTTTTCTGTCAAGGGAGCAAAAATATAAAACATTAACCAATTGTTAATACACATCAAATTTTATTTTTTTTAGCAGTAATACACATCAAATTAAAAAGTATAATTCTGTGGTAAGATTTTTGTGCGTCAACTTTTCATCTATAGACTCCAAACAAAAAATATCTAAACAAAAACATTGCAGAAACAATAAGATAGGCTAGTAAGACAATCCAGTGCACCAACAAAATCAAGAATTTAGGGGAGGTACTGCCATGCAAAAAAAAAGTTTCCATTTTCCAATAACATTAAAAATTAAGAAGTATTTGCGAAAAAATGGTATTGGAGACGTGTCACAGTAATTTACATTACAACTTACCCCACATGTAGGTATGAAAAAACTCCTATTTCTCTTTCTTTTCTTTTTTTTTTTTGCGCCGCCGGAAGGGGGCAGTTATACAATGTCTGGGCAGTCATCTACAAATGAATAAACCCTTCCCATGATTAAACCTACCTCAGCACTTTCCCTATATAAGCCTATCCACACAGTACTCATTTTCTAAGTATGTATCACAGCCAATTCCCAATTGTTTTAACCTTCAATGTATCAAACGAGCTTACGCTATCTAACATTGATCACCATGCATAACATAGGATCAATTTCAAGCAACTTTAAAAAACCACAAAGTGTGCTGTAAACATACAGGTGTATCTTGACATATTCCCACTCAAACACATACAAATACAGAATGAAACAAAACAACCATGAAAATCACATAAAATGCCAATCACCACAACAAAGAGGAAAAGAGTAGGATGATAACCTTAGAATAAATATAATCCTGTAAATCAACAAATATTTCACCACAGGAGTCTCTACAGTCTACTGTATAAAATGCAACACGCTTTGACAACTTGCGGCATTTCTCATTAACCAATTTCTGCAGCACAACCAACGAGTAAGAGAGGTAAACAAAACATCACAAGAAATGGTAAGGTAGAGTTAGTGTTGTACTTTTGTAGTCAGGGAGCAACAACTGACAACTACAACATCGAATTTGTCAAAGAAGTCTACATCAAAGCTTGAGACATCACCTGTAAGAACAAAAGACAGAGTCTTGAAAGATGTTCACAAAGAAGAGAATGAAAGCAAGTGAACGAATTCTTATGAGTCACTAACACTGTGCCCTAAATAAGGAAATACACTCGTCATAAGCATTACGTGTCAGATTTGCAAGATGGGTTTTATACGTTCGAACATAATTAATGTCATCAAGTTATGTTTCCGGGGAGAGAGCAAATCCACAAATCATAAGCTCGAATTGACCGAAACCAATAAAGGCAGGCAACAGACAACTCAATTGTAGGTACAAATTTCCACCTAAAGAGGCCAAGTAGTACCATCAGCAAAGAAAGTTAAACATAACAAGAGATCAAATTATCAAACAGGACCAGACCTTTTTGAACAGCAACACGAACCATAGGATTGAAATCTTTCAAAGAATCACAACAAAGCTCAGCGACGGATTTCCCACCATACATATTCTCATCGGGAGGAACCAAAAAATTTGCTGACAGCAGTTCATCGGTCACTGGGCGGTCATCATTTAAAGTCAAACTACCTACTCCTGCTAGGACAACGTTCTTGCAAAACTGCAACAACATCATATTATCCAAATCTTACATTCGCCAAGAAATGTGCAAACAAGTTCATGGTATTTATTGATTTAAAATAGATAATGAAATGAACTACCTCAACAACAGTGCCTTTAAGACCACTAACTAGTATGTGAGATTTGCTCAGCCTATACAAAACAACCAAAGTTCATAAGCCAAAGCAGAAACGAATTTTATTACCTGGTATACCTATATATATATACACACACACACACACACGCACACGAGAGAGAGAGAGAGAGAGAGAGACTACCGTCGTTGAGCATCGACGCCCCAAACCCTAATTTGGCGATCATACAATGCGGTTTCTTGCTCAGTCAATTCCTCCCTGTCCATTCCTAAATTGAACCTGTGTGTGTGTGAGAGAGAGAGAGAGATCAGACCAAATGGAACGAGCTCTACACGTATCGAACTGTAATCGAAAGAAAGAGTAAAGTGAAGACTATGGTGAGAAGGGAATTAGAATATTACTTTAGGGGTAATTTAGGTAATGATCAGAATTTATTCTCACAGGAAAATCTCTGGTTTGTTCCGGCAAATAGAAGAGTACTAATATTCCTCAGACTCACGAGTCTGAGTACAATTGAAAACAAATCCCGAATGCAAGAAATGGCCCCTCAACTTATAAACTAATTGAATTAGGACTCTAATTTCAATGGGGATTCAAACTCACATCAAAAGTTTGGATGTGATTTGTCCAAATAATTGAGGTCCGTTAATGGCTGGTAAGTTAGGTTAATGTTTGAGTTTTTATAACTATGATATCAATGGGGTTAAACATATCCTTCGAATAACACCATTGGGAGTCGTACTAACATGGTAGTTGAATGTTTGGCACTAAGAGATGCAGTAAAATTTGTGAAGGATTTGGGGCTGATGGACAACACCAATTTGATAGAATCAAATTCTAAAATGTTGGTTGATATTGGTCGGCAAGAAGATTGGGATGAATTAAAATCTATGGTATATATGGGATGAGATATCAAATCTTCTTAGAGGAATTAAATTTCAACTCAATCATATCTTTAGAGAAGCAAATTATGTGTCCAATTTCTTGGCTAACAAAGGAGTTACAAATACTCTGCCGAAGATTTACACGAATCTTAAGGATTTTTCAATCTAAGGATGACTTCTAGTACTAAATGACCGACTACATCGCACTCAAAGGTGATTTCTTACAAGATTTGAAAGATCTTCTTTTCAAAATTTGAGGAAATTTCATACATCTTCATCCAACCTTGAAGTAACGTTTTTACATACCTTTATAGCTTTAGTCTTTATGCACTTGAGGGGTAAGGCTTATTACGTCCCCCAACTAGTTGTAAATTTTTTAATTCATATTTAATAAAATTATGCCCTTATACCGTTGAGATTAAATAAAGAAGAATATCACCGTTAATGTAATGTGCGGTAAGACTTAATTAAAGAAGATATCGTTGCTAACAATTATAAAAAATCCATTAATCGATGGTGTGATTGGCACTCTAAAGGCGATGAAATTCGGACAATAATACAATAAATTACTGCATTTTCTACCCAAGAAAAAAGAATATAAAGATATTGAAATTGTGCCCATCACATTTTTTGCCATATTAAAAAAATTAGACGTAGAAAGATGAATTTTTTGAGCTTTGCCCTCGTTGCCTCACGTACTCACCCCCTTCCCACTATCGTTGCTTTTGGTGCTACTAGCTCTGCCCATTCAACTGGTTGAATCTACTAAATCAACAGAGTCAACTAGATTGCGATCAACATTATGTTCTCTTTAACGATCAAAAAATGAATAATCCTTCTTTTTCGCTTCACAAAATTATAAAGGAGAAGAAATAACATGCCTGAGGAACATTGGGCTAAGCAGCTGATGCCTAGATATGATATGCGGCGTTTGTACTTCTTCAACGAGGTACAGTAGTGCCTTTAAGCCTGCAAAAGTACAGATTAATAACTATTCAAAATGACCAAGAAACACAATCAGACAATAAAAAAAATTCTTTCAAACCCCCCTGATTAATAATAGAATTGTGTGGTTAGAAACTTGATCGAGAATTAAAAAGAACGTTAATATTGGAGTCTGTTAATGATAAATTATTTTTAGCATGAACGAGTTAAAGTAGTTCGGATGACAAGATTTTAGAAAACTACTACTTTGAGTTCCTAAGTTTGAATATTGCAAGAGACATCCTAACTAACCCGATATGCATGATTTATTGGTGATAGAGTACATCCCGAGTTTACGCATAGTCCAAAAAATGAGTGTTTGGACGGTTCTTATTTATCAATTTGACAAGGAAAAAAAAAAAAAGAACTCATATGCCATGCCAAAATTTAAATCGAAACTCACCCTGACTTTGATGATTCAGATTTCTTATCATGATTATCGATTTCACACAATCTGTTAAGAGATTACAACGTCTTGAGCTCTTCCCCAGCACTTGGTTTATTGTTCATCCCATCACCATTTATACATGGGAAAAGCTTAAGAGCACATAAGAAGTGAATAGGTGCAGTATAGACATGTACACAGCACTTAGACTACAATTCAGATGAACCCTAATCAGTAGTCATAACTACATGACATGATACCATTCAACAGCCTCCCAATGATTTCAGATGATGCAGATCTAAATTCATGGCATCTAAATTCGGAGATAAATGCATGGTATCTTGACTCTTCGTATGGTTCCAAAGTATCCATCAAATCTTATTTTATTGTGTCTCATTTTTCGTTTCGTGTCGTTTACTAATAAATTTTCACTTAATCTAGGACGGTGTCAAATTTGACAATAACCAAAACTTGTTTATAGATTATACTGTGCTTGGGTCGATATGCATTACTCATGAACCAAAAAACGGGACAAGGAGTCCTTTTCTATCCAATACAAACACTAGAAAAATCAAGTAAAATTGTTCTCCAAAATATTAGTTACATAGATTTACCCTAGACAAGGTTTATTCATTTTGGACGTTGATCCAACTTGTTTATTGATCATTTTAGCAAACCGTCTTGTTCTTGAGTTTGTATCAAAAACTAACCACACAAAAGTCAATAGTCTGGCACATCTGCCATTATTCAAAAGAGCTCACAAACGGGCCACGACATGACCCGTTAGGCGGGCCATGAGCAGTCAAGCTTTGGTGCTTTCAAGCTAGAGGCTCACGGCTTGATTGCCCCGGGCATTATTATTTTTTTTTTTTTTGATAAATAAGAGGTCGGTTCATAATATAAGAAAAAAAAATACACCTTTTAAAAAAATTTGTAAAAAAGCTCACCTACTATAACTAAAGTCCAAAATAATCCTTTTTTAAGTTAAAGAGTTTCTTTCCCTCACTAAACAGACCAGCGTAAAGATGGCCAAGAGATAACAAATGATTTGTCTTCTCAACCATTGGCGTTGGAGTTTACATGATCTGAGAATATAATTTTGAAATTTAAACGGTGTTCACATTATCTATCCCAAACTCTATTCTCTCATCACTACCACATTACAAAGAAGGGTATCAAAGAAATTCATTATTCTTTAGGCTTTCACCATGAAGACCATATACTGTCGGCATCGTTGGATTCACTAAGAAGAAAATAAGGAATTCACTGTGAAGAAATTGAAGGATTTCACTTGGAAAAAAACATATAGCCCCCAATTTTTTTTAACATATATTTTTCATCGTGTTCATAACTAACCAATTGTTAATATTTGACGAGCCCAGATTTAGATCTGGCTTGAGTCCAGTTCATAGATTGAGTTCAAATCATCAAAAGATAGGTTAAACTCAACTCATAGGTTCATCCCAATCCATAAGTCTAAGAGACTCAACGCACGTGGGGAGTAATTACCGGGATAATCACTACTTAAAAATTAATACTATCTTTAATTATTTGTATCCTTAGCTATAGCTATCTTCCCCGAAAGATTAGTAACTTATTCTTCATGTCACCACCTCAACTAAGGCTCTGTACACATAATGGAGAAACCTCTATATCTCACACAGAGATATCTCACCTCACTTTGAGCATATTTTTGCTCCCTCCCTCTCTCCCACCTGCTACTTTATCTGTAAAGTCCTCTGGTCAGCATTGTCGTCTTCAAAGTGAAATAAGTCACCCTGACTAAACTACCCTATATATGTGTTGCTTGTGTTAATCTCATTTTTATATTTACTGCATTTATTATCTACATTAATTACTCGACAAGTGATGTATAAATTCACTTTTGTGCATCATTAATAATAACAAAAAAATTATGTAAAATCAGTGTGACATAATAACTATTGTTAGTGTTAATGCCACAGTGCAACAGTGATAATGTCACAATAGTTATAATGTCATACTGTAACAATTATAATGTCACATTGCATAGTTATAATATCTAATACACTGCAATAATTATAATGTCATATTGTATAGTGATAACGTCTAATTATATTACAAAATGATATGTGAAGTCCACAAAAAAATAGGAAATTGAATCCCAAGTGATATTGTGGGATAACTACAAGAAGATATAATTCAGAATTCAAACGTGTTGTTCTAAAAAAATAGGAAATTGAATCGCACAATTCAATGTCTAAAAAATCATCCATGATTAGGGCAATTATGTAAATAAAATATTTAAAAAATAGTCAATATGTATCTACTCACACAACACACTCCTAAAAAAACAGAACTTATATACAAAAGAGAATCTGTGTAGTATTTCCCTACAAATAAGTAATATATAGTGTATCTATCCATAATTTTTCCTTTTTTTTGTTACAAGATATTCACATTCGTGTTGATTACTCTCTCGAGTTCGGATACTGGCCACAGCATAGCCGAACCTTACAGCATAGCCCAACCTTATTTTTGAATTGTGTCCGATATATTGAACAAATGGTCAAACAATCTCAAATAACAAGTTGTAAATTCAGACATCCTAAATTAGAATTTTGACAATTTATTGTGACTAAACCATGAGTGATATCCCTCATGAATATCCTAGATCTAACGTGGGTGATCTGTCTTTAATCAGATCGGAGAAAAAATTAGTCTAAATACGTGAAAATTGATCCGAACACTATGACTGTTGAAAAAAAAAAAAGTTCAATGTTCAAACTAAAAAACCCATCAAATGTGTAGAACAGTCCATTTGCTTTGTCTTGTGAATCAATTCTTGTGTTTTGTACTTCATTTGCTTAGTCAGTAAAGTTAAAGGGGACAAACATCCTGTTGTCCTTTTCTTTTCTTTTTTCTTTATCAACTGGTAACTTCCCACACAAAACCTTATGAATAAGAGTTTTTTTTAACTGAATTATCGTGGTTTCTAATTAATTAGTACTTTTTAACTTATTTCTCAATCATTGTTCTATGAAAAAAAAAATGGTTTAAGCAGATGTTTTTGAATAAAAACGATTTTGCAAAACACGTTTAAGTAAAAGCAAATTTGCTATGGAAATGTCGCTTTTTATGGAAATGGCTATAGTTTAATAAATAAATAAAAGAGAAAAGTATTGTGCAAAAACAGTTAATTAAAAAAATAAATATAATTTGATCACTAATTCTTAGAAAAGAAAAAAGTATGTGCTTTATATGTAATACTGTTTATGTTAAAAGAAGAAAATAATCGAAGCAAAGAAAAAGTTTATTCTCACCCAAAAAGAAATGAAGAGAAATTTTTTTTTCTTTTCACAGCTCTTCTTCTTTGATTCACACATCCAAAAAGAAATAATAGGGAGAAAAAAATACAGTTGTTCTTCTCTTTTATTTTATTTTCTTTTCTTTTCCTTGTTCATTCTTATCTTTCCTTCCGATGGGACCCAAACCAATTATACGAGAAAATAGAATAAGATCTCCACCGTTGTTTTTAAAAGGATCATTTAAAAGAATTATAAAAAAAAAGTAAATTAAAGAGGGTATGAATACAATCTCTTCCTCCTCTCTCGCCCCCTAGTGCTCTCTCTCAAAAAATACAAAATGATTAGGGTTGATAATTGAGTCGGATTATTCGTGCTTAGTTCGGATAGGACTCGAATTGAGTTAAACTTGTGTTTTTAAATGAGCCGAGCTCGAATAATTATTTAAACTCATTTAAAAAATTGTCTAAAAAGTCTGGATCAAGCACGCAAAATTTGACTAGTTTATATGTAAAATAATCGAATTATTCGGGTTCGACCTATTTTGAACTCGGCTTATTTTCTAAATGAATTAAGCTTGAATAATTTTTTAGGCTCGTTTAATAAACAAGCTCAATAAACTAAACTCAAGTTCGCAAAGTTTGAGAGGATTATTTCTTTGCCCTTAATGTTATCTTTGTTGGTTATTTCTTTGCCCTTAATATTATCTTTGTTGTTAAACCTTGGAGTCACATATTCAAACTTTGTGCTCTCTCTCCTTATAAGAGAAAAAAAAAAAAAAAACCCTCTTTACTGCTTCCTATTTAAATGGAGCCCATGTCCGGGAATGAATGGCTCAAAAGCTCAAAGCAGTCTTCTTCTCCATCACTTGTCTGTAAGTACTCTCTCTCTCTCTCTCGCGCACACACAAACACAATTTTTTTTTTTGAAAGTTAGCATACAAATTTGTAATCTTTTCTTATATTATACCTTTCTTATTGGCTACTAGTTTTTCTGGGTTAATATCTTCAAGTTTCTTGCTTGGTTGTTTTGTTTCTAATGTAGGTTTCTTACCTTAATCTCTTAATTTTACCTCTTTTCTGTGTATTTCATTAGTTCCTTTTGTGCTTTTATCGGAAACTGGACAGTTTGAAGCTACCCAATACCTGTTTATCTATTAGGTTTTCATCTGGGTTACAATGCCCAAATTTTGCTTGCTAATTTGGGTGTGAACAGTATTCCTGGTTGTTTCGATGCATTTGGAAATTAGCTCATATTTTTGGGTGGTACGAGTGGGTGAAAGTGAATCAACCAAGTTAGGTGTTTTAAGGTGCGGAATGTAGAAAGGACGAAGAGTTGGAGGAGGAGGAGGGTAGGGGGAGGTGAGGAAGAAGAAGTATAGAAAGGGATAGATATTATGGACTGGGATTGGAAGACACCTTCATGTGATATACCCGAAGTTGAACAGGAAACCATTTCCACTGGCAATGCAATGAGTGGGTCGATTAGCCTTGGAAATCAGGGAATTAAGGGGGAATTTTCAATCGATTTGAAGCTTGGTCAGGTGGTGGATTCAGGCAGTGGGTTAGTAGATAATTTGAAGGTTCAAAGTGTTTCCAAAATGGAAATGTCACCATCAGGGTCATTGAAGAGGCCTCGTGGAATTGGTAATGGAATTCAGACTGCATCTTGCCTTGTGGATGGATGCAATGCAGACCTTAGCAACTGTAAGGAGTACCACAGGCGCCATAAGGTCTGTGAGCACCACACTAAGACACCACAGGTTAAAATCCGCGGTCAGAAACAGCGGTTCTGCCAGCAGTGCAGCAGGTACAAGTTATAAAATCAGTCTTCTGATGCACTCATGATCATCCCTATGTGTTATGTTTAGAGTTAATTAGGGTTTTCTGTTATTTGAATTCTGCATGACAAAGTGCCTTATATTGGTAGAAAGACTAGTAGTTGTTTTCAAGTATGCATTTTGAACTACATTGCTTTGTCTTTGCTACTTGGTTTTTTCTTGTTCAATTCAGCATATGCAATTGTTCAACCATTCCTTATCGTCAGCATGATATTTAACAAGACACTTGGAGAGGGTTTCAATGGCTTTAGCTTAAGCTATGAGACTGATATAACTGAAATGAGATTTATTTTTCTTCACTCTACTCTATTTTCTTCACACTACTATATTTTATCAAGGAATTGAACGCAGTCAAGTGTCTATTGCTCAATAATATGGGGATTTTTGCTGAAGAACATGTTTCACTTTGTTGTTCGCATGCATATTAACAATTATCATTTAGGTTTACTAATTGGATTGACTTATGTCAGATTCCAACATGGAAAAGAAGAGTCATCTAGTACAAATCCTGAACGGATGGTCACTCTTAAAGTTAGAACATGGAGCTATTTTGGAAGCTAATGAAGAGTTCATTTCATATTGGCTTCAATCCAATGTTCCCTATTTGATATTGCTGATGAGGGTGGGAAAGGGATTTCGTTTAGGGAGGGGTTAAAATATTTTTATAGAGTCAATGAATAAAGATTTCCAGACTGCAGATTATCCTACTTCTTGGTGCTTAATTGATGCCATGAGGGGTATCAAATTGAATGATAATGACACCTTTTCTGAAGTTTTGCTTACTGTCATAGTTTACCAACATCCTCCCCCTCCCCCTCCCCCTCCAGCAGGTAACAGCATTTCAGTAACCTTATCCATAATACAGGGTTAGTTGACAGCCCATGGTGACGGAAGAATAGGTTTCTCCCCACCTAGGGAATCATTCATGGCAGAAAAGTCGAATTCAACCACTGCCATCCCCATACAATTTTTAACCAATTTATTCTTATCTTCTAAATTTTTAAAGAAATTTTGGAATGATTACTGTAAGATGGCTAACCTCTGCTGGGTTTAAAAATTTGAATTTCCATAAAAGTTTTGCCTTTTTCCTTTATTCACATTTTCTTCTCCTCTTGACGACTTAGTACTGTGTTTGTATATACTACGTACTCGTAGTTTCATAATTTTGAAGAATAGTTTTGATTTTCTGCAGTATTGACAACTGATTGTGAAAGTATAATTCAAAACCATTATTTTGTTAACTCTAACACTTCTCCAGTATTTTGTACTATAAGATGTATTGAAGGCTCCTTCCTGGATAGAAAATCTGGTGCAGCGAAACCTAAATTAACAAGGACAGTTACTCCATGACCCTGGTTACATTATAGATCTAATGCAGGACTATCCAAGTAGTAATGAGCTGTCTCTAGTCCTGCTTTGGCCCCTTTACATCTGTGGCTGGATTTTTGAAAAGCTCAAAGGTCATCAGCTGTTTTGTTACTCTTTTTGCAGATTCCATTCGCTAGATGAATTTGATGAGGAAAAGAGAAGCTGCAGGAAGCGTCTTGATGGACACAACCGTCGACGACGGAAGCCACAGCCAGAACCACTATCACATCTCGGTAGTTTAATGTCCAATTACCAAGTTAACATTGTGATTTTGAAAACTTCTACATTGATACGATTTTTATCGTTGTCATTATACCTTAGACCTCGTTATCAGGCTGAAATAATTGCTAGATGGATAGAGTGAATTCCTTTTCAGTTGTGAAGCCATTAAGAATATATGCCCTGTTGCCCACTACCCATACACTTGCTCAAACACAGCCCGGAATTTTTTCTAAGTTGAACTGTCAAGTCATCATAGTGGTTCACGAAATTGCATGGTTGATGATCAAGCAACCTACCAAAAGATCTCTTCAAGGTCTTTTCAGGAATGTTTCGTGTGTTCTCCCTATTGCTTATTTAGGGCCATAGACTAACTAGGAGGGGTCAACGGACATGTATCCATACGTAGGAGAAAGTAAAGGTGAAAACCACTCTAGTGAGCCAGAAGAGTGATTTATGCTTGCCTCAATCTTTTAAATGTCTCAAAAGAAGAAGTTGGATCATTAAAGACATGAGTGAATTTGTAAATTCAATAGAACACTTCTCCTTCATTGTGTATGATGGCTGTTTTGAACAACTTTGAACTGGTTGGTGTTAAGTCTGTCACTTACTTTATGAAATCATTGATGAACTTCAGATCATTGCGGTGGACATGATCTGCAAATATGTATGGTGTACACCAACAATGCCTTGTAGTTGATTCTTCATTTCCTGTTTATTATGGTTTCCAGCTAATAGAATTGATCTTAAGTTTTTCTAATTTGTTGTATTCACACCTTTCAGGTCCCAGATATTTGTCGTTCTCCAGTTCACAGGTATTTCCAATGACTGCTGCATCGAATACAATATGGTCTGGAGTTGAAAAAGCTGAGCAACATGATAAGCTCCACAACGAGCACTCACAATTGCAGCACCTGCCCAGCAAACAAAATCTATTTCCTGGACCCTCATCTAGCAGCAACGCAGGAGGATGGAAGCCTCCTAGTTTCTTGCACATGACTAACCTCTCACTCAGCAACCAAACAGCTTCTGAAGCTTCCATCTGCCAATCAGTTCTCAAGACCGTTGCTTCATCAGAAAGTGATGCACGTAGCCACCAAATGCCCTGTGATGGATTGTCAACTCAAGTTCTCCATTCTGATCGTGCTCTCTCTCTTCTGTCATCGTCTCCAACCCAGACATCCGGAATTTGTTTGAGCCACTCAACCCCCATGGCACATCCCTTACACCCAGGCCTACATTACAATAGTCTGGAGGCCATGAATTCAATTCTGATTCCCAATGCTGGTGAAGCTAGTGTCCATTGCCAAGGAATGTTTCAGTCAGGGCCTGATGAACCCTCTGATAATGAAGCTCCACAAACACTTCCCTTCTATTGGGAATAGTCAAGATAGTCCTTATTCTCCTCTGTTGCAGAATAAATCTGGGATTTGGTTTCAATAATTTTGAAGGAACTCATTCATTATGAGAATGAAGTTTGTGTTTACGATGTAAAATGTTCATTTTTGTAGAACTAAGTTGGCTTCTTTGCTATCATCTTGTCGTCATTTTAGTTTCATGTTGCTTCTTCCCAATATGTTTGGAGTGATGCCCGTTAATTGAATTTGTTGTATAGGGTCTTTGAAAGTGAGGTAATTTTCTTTCCTTCAGGATGTAAAGTCTTTCAATGACTAGCTTAATGTTTCATGGGATTTTTCTTGCAACAATTAATAAATAATGCCATGAGATTTTAGAGTATATGTACAAACACACACATACTTTGTTCGAATCCATTATACAAGTTAACTTGACTAAGTTTAAGGAAAACACTATTTGTACTTTATTTGGAGATCCAAATTAATTACAAGTGACTTTAACTAACAATGGAACTCATAACTACTCTAAAGATTATAAAGAATTGGATTTCTGATAAGATCTTCAAATGAGATCTTTATAACATAGTTTTTGGAGAAAAAATTTGCATTTTTGTGGCAGAAACAGATCTAGATTCCCTTCAATACAATTTCTTCATAAGTGGGTCCTTCACTTGTATGTGTTAGATAATGTGCCATTAAAAACATCGAGAATAAGTGTATTAGATAATATCTCACCCAGCTAAAAGAACTGATCTTCTAGTTTTGAAAGGAGAAGCAACTTTGAAAGCACTGTGGGCTCCCTTGAAATTAGATATATGCTGTCTGACACATAATGCTGGCCCTCCATAAAATGGGTTGGAGTAGTTGACATTGCTCATACACAATACTGTTTCTGCCCAATGCTGATTCGATTTTGAAAGGTCACAACTCACAATTATAAAACTCCCTTTCCATGGCCAGCATACTCTCACAATTATAAAACACCCTTTCCCAGCACACTCTCACAATTATAAAACTCTCTCTCTCTCTCTCTCTCTCTCTCTCTCTCTCTCTCTCTCTCTCTCTCTCTCTCTCTCTCGTGCATATAATCAGAAAGAGGAATGAACATAAAAGTTAATGCACCCATTGAAGCTCTGCTAATTCAAAACTTACATAATGTATCACAAAATGAATGAATACAGTCTCATTCTAGATGGACTATGTATACACATTGACTTGGCTCTCTTTACCAGTGATAATGACAATGAAGAAACAGAAGGTGGCAGTTATTTTTCATGATGAGCAAATGATGCAATACCTAATGTTGAATGAGGAGTGCATTACTCATCAACTTCACAAACTATTAAGCATAATAGACTATTAACCTATTGTAACAATTATTTCCAATCTTCCAGATGCCAAATCCTATAGTTCATCCTAATATATATTTGGGTCTTCCTCCTCCTCCTTTTGTGAGGAGGTAATTCTACGGGAGTTATTGCACAAGAAATTTAAAAGGTTCAGAGAGATAAATGACAAGGAGCTTTATCATCGATCGTTTTGGACTAGTTGATAGCCAAACTCCAACCCACTTAGAACAGGAGCACTTCCCTTTACTTATTTTATACGAAATAAATGCATAATATCACCTTTGCATATATAGAAATTCAGATTTGTTGGGAAAAAAACTAGTAAAGGATTAATTGCAGAAGATGCAGTCTATATATAAGAAAATGCATAAAATCACTGCATCACTAAAAAAATTTAAGGAAAATTGCTAGATTGCTTTCATTGGAAGCATATAGTAGATTTGCAAGTTTCCTACTACAACTGTTGACACCTTTTCAATCCCTTAAGGAGTTCCTCCATGAATTAGCCTACACCAATCATGTTAAGCCATACTTTCTCGTGCATGATTGCCAAACTATCGTAAGATAAACCCTAAATCCTAACTTGAAAAAGTAAACCCTAAAAGCCATTAAAGTTTCACAAACCCTTACAAAAATGATTAGTAAAAAATTGGACAATAGAAGAAAGCTCATCACTGAATGATATTCAAGACTTTAGGAAGAAAATTTGAATTTCCCCCACCTGAACCAATCAACATAGAGTGTCTGATATTGGCACGGCTCAATCAAATAAAAACACCCAACCCAACCATTGGCAGATTTGATTTGATTGAGCCATCCCAACATCATCGCATTACAACGAAGGAAACTTGTACAAATTATATAAAGGATCTACAACATACCTTCACCAAACATATCCATCAGATGAATAAAGTGCTCATAGATAATCAAGCAGTTCATGACATGACTCAGAAAAAAAGTTCAAAACAAAAAACTGTATTAGGAACAATGTGTGGCTATGGTCGTAATGTGAGGGATAGCTGAGAGAATCTATGTATGAAAGAGAGAGAGAGAGAGAGAGAGAGAGAGAAAGTGGAGAACTAGAGGCTAGAGGGATCTGCAAGAAAGAAAAATGGTTAAGATGTCCAAGTCTTTGGTTCATCATTCATCTGGAAAAGTGATAATATATATGCAAATCTTGCCATTAGGTCTTCCATGACACAAAAGTAGTGGTTGATGACACTAACACAATTAACAGGAAGTCATTTTCTTCTATAGTGTTTCCATTTTTTTCATGTCAAAAAAAGCTTTTTTACTGATTTGCCAACCAAATTTATTTGTTATATGACAATTATTATTATCATCATTATGTCATCATTCATGGGTTTTGATTCAAAACCTCAAAAGAATCAATATTTAAAAATAAAATTGGTAAGAAATATATAAAAATTCAAAGTGGTAGGACAGAAATTGTTTTTAAGAAGAACAAAAATTCTTGGACTAAAGGTTTTGGACATTGGAACATGATGTATTATAAAGTTCTTTGTGGGTATCCATTTATGAAAAATAATATTCGAGCAAAACATTATTTCAAATCTTCTTTGTTTATATTTGTAAACTGACCAGGCAAGTTTATTAATGCATTTTAGTTTTTAATCAAAAATTCAGCTTACTAAATCGTTTAATACATTAATTAATAGTGATAAGATTAGAAATTATCTCTTTGGAGACATCCGATAAAATTGGAACGATACAGAAAAGATTAGTATGGCCCCGACGTCATGGATACACGTACAAATCAAGAAATATTGGAAGTAGGCAACTTGTCAAAAGCCATAAGATCAACAATTTGCAACAGAGGTATTAGATCCAACAGAAGATGAGAGAGAGAGAGAGAGAGAGAGAGAGAGAGAGAGAGAGAGAGAGAGAGAGAGAGAACTTGAAGCAGTCCATAGTTCTTTGCCTAGTAGTGTGGTGTTCTTGTGGAGGAATTAAGTGCCATGATTTTGAGGAAAACAGCATAAATAATAATATCTGGTTCGGCAGATAATATTAAAAATGAAGATAATTAGCTCTCCACTAAGGAATAGTTCTCTCAGAAAAAGAAGGTATAAACTAACTGCTATCCAGCATTGTAGAGTTCATGCTCTATTGTTTAATCTTTGGTGTGGCAACATAAATAACCCATGTTTTGGTGGATGTCTAAATCATGTATGTTATGTTGTATTGAATTTGCTTTTATTCACATGAATTATTTATTGAGTGGGTTGAGTAGGTCAACCTGATCATGGCCCAAACTTGTCAAGGTTAAATTTCCACCTAAGCAACCTGATTTTCAATTCAAATCTCACTCAAATTGTGTAATCCGAGTTCAATCCAAAGTGTAAAAATCTTATCATGTATAGTATATACGTAGATTAAAGGGTTGGTGTTAAACCTCAAATCGAGTTGATCTTGAGTCAAGGGCTTAACAACTTGATTTGTTTCAGAATTGACCTCTCACCATACATAACCCGTCGTACTTGCACACCCATAGGATTAAGAATTCTTGTATCACGTCATTTCAAAATTAGTTCAATTATACATGAACCATTTATTAAACAGGTTATGACCCAAATGTGTTAGTCCTAAAATGATTCTACTTGCATGGGATGGAGATGGCATGGCAACCAAACAATACAATTCTCTTCTGGGGTTGTTAAAAAGTTTTTTGTAAAACTAATAGAGTTATTCTAGTTAACCACCTTTGATTCTAGTCCTAGAAGTCAAGATGGTAAGAATTGATTTCTCTTAGTAAATTATTATTCAATTATTAGATCGGATCGATCAATCATTTTGTAACTATTGGATTTTCGGATTGAGGAAGGTTCCTCCTAATGGTTCTTCATCTGGGCACAAACGACACAGAGAAAACCATAGATTCCCAAAACTTTTCCATTTGATTAACATATATACCTAATTCCTTGTCCCATTAATCAGCTCCCTGGCTTACAGCTTTGTTCCTTATAGAATCTATGCCTTCTTATATATGCCAAAGGTTACGGTACCACCGACAGTAACATACCAAAAATTATAATTTTTAAGGTTAAAGTATAATTTTTTTTAGGTGTAATTTATAATTTTAAAGGGCATGATTAATCATGAAAGGTTGTTATCAATACTGAGATTTTCATAATCGATCATAGGTGTCTGTAATCGATCATGACCTTCTTTTGAATAGTTGTAACTTCTCCTTTCAAAATTATAAATTTATCCATAAAAAATAGTAATCAGTGGTACGATACCCAAATTTTTTTCTTTTTTGGGTTACGGTAGAATTTCTGCATAGATATAATATATACATATAAGTGAGAGTGTGTGTGTGTGTGTGTGTGTGTCTGAGAGGAAATGAGTCAATTGGTCCCTTAGATTCGCAAGCAGTTAGCAAGGTTCCAATGGCACAACTGCAGGCAGTACAAAGACTGGCTAGCAGGCATTTATTCTAATTCAAGCAATTATTCTCTCATAATGATAATTCTGTCTGATCATTCCCAATGAGGCATACTTCAAATTATTTGATAAATATATAATCTTATTTAAATGGTTTTGCATTACATAAGATATAAAAAAAAGTCGTATTTAGTAGTACATAAAATTCTCATTTATAACGGTTAGAAGAAATTAATTGATAGATGATTTTATTTTTATTCTGAGAAAACTGATTCCCAAACTTAAACTTGATCGTCACTCAACGAATAAAAGTTACTCTAATGGTAACAAGTTGATCTTTCCCAAGAGCTCACATCGATTGGAAGGTTTTACATCTCAATATCGACTCTTCACCACCTTGAACTGTAATATGTTCTAAGGGTTGGTTTGTTCGCTTATTAAAACAGTATATTTTGTCGCTTGAACAACAGAACTCTTGATATCGGTTCAAATTCGTTCTCAAGTTTTCTACAGAAAGAAAGGGATTTACTTCTTAATATTCTAAGGTATCTTCCCGAAACAAGA